TTATATCTTTAAAATAGCTAATCTAATATAATAATATTTTTAAAATTCTTATTTAAATTGTTTATAGCGAGTTATTCTTTTACTACTAAATAATATTAAGATTTATAATTTATATTTTATCTTAAGATACTTATTTATACTTAATCTTATTCTTTTTTATTTATCTATCTTAATAAGATTATTATTAATAATCTTAATAAGATATTAATAATGGGTTAGTTGCTACTTTACCAAGCTTTTCTAATATTATAGAATCATAATTTTCAACCTTTATTTATTAAAGTAGCTAATTTATTTATTTTATATTTATTAATATATAAAGTATAAAAACTAAGTTATTATTAAGTATAATATCTATAGATATATTTAATAATAAACTCGACGATAATTCTAATACTTTAAATTTATATTTATTAAGAATAGTTAGATTAAATTAGAAATAGGCTACTCTTTTACTATATATATTTAATATTTTATTTTATTATAGCGTTCTTTTTATTATTTAAATTATTTGAATAAAGTCCACTTTATCTATTAAGTAGTTATCTCTATACTTTATATTTTTTCTAGATATTTATAATATATAATTATTAAAGATAAGAAAATTCGATATTAAGTAATTAAAGAATATATATAATATCATAGATAGATATAAGAGATAATATCGTTATTGTATAAAACTCTATGACTTTAATATTGATATATAATATATATTCGTTATATATAAAGACGATATCGTTTTAATTTTATTTTTTTAGTTTTATTTTTTTTTTATTTTATATTTTTATATTTTTTTATTTTTTTATTTGTTTTTTTTTTTATTTTATTTTTTTTAATATTATATTGTTTATATAACGTTTCTTTAAATAATATTAATATAAGCTTTATTCGATATATATTTAATAAATTATTATTCTCTTTATTCTAATTTTATATATCTATATATTATCTTAAGTCCTTTTTTTATTGAATTGAGTATTTTTTTATTTATTTATATATATTTTTCTAAATATTATACTTTAATTACTAACTTTTAAGTCGAATTTTTAATAGTTTTATGATTATAAGTTTGATTATTCTTTATTTAATAGCTAACTATATCGACTTCGTAGCTCTAATAATATTTTAAAAGTTAATTATCTATTTTATTGCTCTTTTAATCTTTCTTTATTATTAGTATTTTTCTATTATATTTATAGATAACTTTAAGTTATCTTACTTATTCTATAGAACTTATAACTTAAAGCTTATCCTCTTAGAACTTAATCGTACTTATTTTATATACTTTTAAAATGTTTTTTTAATATATTAATTAAGTGAATTGTAGATTTAATATAATTAATTAATAAGATAGTAAACTTTTCTATAACTTTCGTAGCTTATAGACTATAGTTAATTTACTTATTATTATAGTTAGCGTATTTTTAAATAATTTTTTGAGCCTTTAAGAAGTTTAATAAGAAATACGTTTCTCGTTATATAAGACTTAAATTAATAGTTTTTTCTTAGTTCTAATTATTTATTCGATAGACTATTAATAGGAGGCTTTATCTATATATTATTTTAGTTAGAAATTTATAAGATTTATAAAAAGGTTTGGGCTTATAAAACTTATAGAGGTTATAAGTTTAAAGGTTTATATATTATTTTAGATAATAGATACTGTTATAATATTATAGGCTTTAATGTTAAATCGTTTAACGTTTAGTTTTTTAGTTTTGAAGTTTAGTTTATTTTTATTTGAAATCTTCTTTTTTTATTTACGATTATTTTATATGGTTTCTATATTCCTTTTTTTTTTATAAGATTTAGTTATCTATTATTATTTATTTTTATTATTATCTGCTTTATATTTGTAATATATATTTAAAATTATTTATATTAATTTGAAAGTTACTCGATTTATGGTTTGTTTAGGTTTTTTTATTTTTTTGCTTAAGTTATATTAAATAATTATTTTATGTGTTGTTTTTTTTTATCGATTTTAAGTTAAGTCTTTGTTATATTGGTTTATTTTTATATTATCGATTTTATTTTATGGTTTGGTATTAAAAATAGTTGTTTTGGTTATGGTTTGAATTTGATATTATAGTGTTTGTTAATTGATAATATTACTTTATATAATTTTATTGAATAATAGTTATTATTTTTTTTTTAAATCATTGGTTTATGGTTTAAACTTTGTTTTGGGTGTTTTGTATTTATGTTTTAATGTTCCCTGATGATGATTTTTATATTAGACCTGGGCAAACTCCGGCAAAGCGACCGACTGAGATCGGGCAGAGTCAAACATCCGTCGACGCCGGATCCGTCTCCGTGAAGACCTTGTACAGCCTCCTACTGATGGCGGGGCCGATTTTGCGGTCAGTGAGGGCGCCGTTCCGATTCGCTGATTTCTGTTTCGCGGCATCATCTCGGTCAGCCTTCTATAACACATCGAGGCCCGTCGGTGTCAAAGGAGTGAATGGAAAAGAGACTTGCCTGCAAGTCCTCCAGCACGAGGGGACCGTGTTTCCGAAACGCCTTGACCAGAGCGAGCACGCTTGGATACTCGGACGCGATGCCGTAAGCGATGGGGGGCGTGACGCGGACGACTTCCTGGAGCATCTTGACGAAAGTGTCGTCTTTGTCCTCGCCGGTTTTGACCTGGCCGGATTCCATGCAGAAGGAGGTTTCGAGGTTCATTCTTTGGCTTCTGTTTGGTGGGTGTCAGTGAGGGTTGCTTTGGAGGACGAGGAAGGGGGAATGGGAAGAAGGGAGGGAGGGAGGACATGCCGGTAGGGTATGGTAGAGATATGTTGCGTGAAGTTCGCAACCCACTCTGCCGTCTCGAGGGAAGTCATCGTATGATGCACCAAGCACCCGTTCATGACCTGCAGTCGTAAAAGAGCGTCCTCGATCGTGTCCTCGTCCACAATCTCCACTGGGGCTTTCTTGCGTTTGGGATGATTTCCTGCGGGAGCCTCGGCGGCTTGAGCCTGGCTGAGAACTTTTGCTTGGTATGCTCGATTCTCTGCCGTGCGATTCTTCCGCATCCAGATCTGTAGGCCCTCGATCAGGTAGATTGGTATGCAATTGTCATAGGCGCTCTTCAACTTCGCAACGTGCGTCTCGACATCTTGTTCTTCGTGTTGCACCATAGCCAATGCCACAAACTCTTTTGCAGACATTATACACATGACGTGCTTCTCATTCTCGATCTGCATATGCCCCAATGGCTCCCAGTATTCCAGCTCAGGGTTCCATCTCGCTTTCAATTTTCGCCTCCATCTAATCACATTGGGTATCGGGCTCTGGTACAAAGTCGCATCTACACCGAGGTTCTTGAGAAACTGTCGAATCTGGATGTCTACACTCTGGCCGTCTATCGATGCCGGTAGATTCACGATCATCTCCGGTGTCGAGTCTTTCTTGTCCAGCTTTGACTTGTTGACTTCGGCAAGGTCTGCCGCTATACCCTTTTCTTTCGCTTTCTCCTCCTTCTCGAGTCGCTTCTTCTCCTTGTCCTCTTCTTTCTCTTTCTCCTTCTGCTCCTTCTTTGTCTCTTTCTCTCTCTCTTTCTCACGCGCCCTAGCAGCTTTCTCTTCATCTGTGAGCTTAGGTTTTCTCAACGTTTTAGCGGGCTTCGTCTGGGTTCCTTTTCCATCCTCTGGTCCCGTTGAGTTCCGGTCATCTGCCGAGCATTTTGCTCGGGCCTTGCCCTTACCAACTATATCACCCAAAGGCTTGCGGATATTGGAAGGCTTCCGGCGTGGAGGAGACTGGGATAGGGTCGCAAGCAACGCTGTAGTCCGTTCAGAGAGTGCTGAAGCAGCATTGGTGGCGCGCAGAGAAGCGGAGAGTATGTCGTCCGGGAGACTGTCATCCGAGTCGTCGCCGCCATGCGCTGACAAGGCGTCGATTGCCGTCCTTTTTGCACGAGAAGCCGTTGTCTCGGCGTGGGCTGAGGATGTGAAAATAATAGGATCAGATCCCTCGATCCCCTTCCAACCGTACTCGTCCTGTACTTTGCTCTTGAAACCGCTCTGAGTTGTTATTATTGGCATTCTTGATTTGGGTAGCTTCGAAAGTGGTTGGACGTTATCTTCGTCGGCAAGCGGTGGACTTAATTTCCTTCTCTTAGACGCACTCTCTGCCCAGCCATCATTGAGGTGCGCGGTGGTGTCGAAGTCGTCAGATAGATAGAAGAAGTCGTCCTTGGCCGCGACGGTCTTTGCGATCGGTTTTGTAAGGCTTGGAGCGCGCAACGGCGCCTCGTCTTCAGAGCTGAGGAGATCGATGACTTCTCCGAAAGCCATTATGAGGCGTGCTTTGAGTGTGATTGCAAACTTCTGGGTGCATTCCCCGGGGGAGGAGAGTGAAAGACAAGCCGCAATTACGCTCTATTTGTCTGTTCACCTTGGTTGCTTCCTCGTCGTTCTCTCCTCATTCACTCGAAGCTAGACGCCCTACAGTAAGCCCTACAGCACTCATGCTTCGATCGCGCGTGAGCAACAAGCAGAAGAAGCAAGAGCAAGAAATGAAACAAAAATGAAACAGATCAGCTTCGCCGACAACGGGAGTAAAGCTGCAAAGAGAGCAACTACTTTAAGAATGTACCCTCGTAATTACTTATAGTCGTCCGGACGAAGAAGCGCGTCAAACGCGCATTCTCTTGGCAGGAGAAGAAGACATAAAATCTGCCCTAAGCTCAGTCGGAGCTCTCCCAGGGGCCAGGGCTGCCCGCTTTAGCCGGGAAGATAACCGTACCCTACCCTACCAGAGTGATCAGTACAGGCTTGTGCTAGTCGTTATCACTATCAGCAGCCTTATGTGCAGGCTACAGCCGCTTGGTGCACTTGGCGACACCGTCTGGGCCGTTGCGTCGCCCGCAATGATTCTCAGGTAAAGGTCAAGCCCTACCTTGGTAGAATACCAAAGTACTAAATCACGCAGAGAAAGTTCGGTTGCGAACCTACTTTATATCTAGGCATATAAGGGCTCAAGCCCACGAATCGACCATGATACGCCTACTAGACGCAACCACTCACTCCATCGCTTCCTACCTCGATCCACCCTCCTACGCCATTATCTCCCATGTCTGGCTCCCCCCCGAAATCATCCACACCGACATTATCGACCCATCCATCCCGCTCTCCACATTCACCAACCCCTCTCACCCCAAACGCATCAGTGCCGCAAAAATCCTCAACTCATGTAATACCCTCGTCCGTCTCTACAACGGCAGAGTCAAGCACCTCTGGCTTGACACAATATGTATTGATAAAAGGGACCTAACAGAACTGTCGACAGCGATAAATTCAATGTACAAGTGGTATAAGTATGCGGAGGTCTGTTTCGTGTATTTAGCGGATTATCCCTCCCCTTCCGTCAGCGACTTCACGCACTCCAAATGGTTTACGAGAGGCTGGACACTGCAGGAATTCATCGCCCCCAAGTCCGTCCTCTTCTTCGACGCATCCTGGAACCGGATTGGCGATAGAGATACTTTGCAATCCGACCTCACGGCACGGACGAGCATCCCGGCGGAAGTCCTGCTCGGGAGCAGGAACGTGGGATGGGCGAGTGTGAGCTGCCGGATGTCGTGGGCCGCGGGAAGGACAGTGACTGTTGAGGAGGATATTGCGTATTGTCTGCTCGGTCTTTTTGGCGTCAACATGCCGCTGCTATATGGAGAGGGGGCAGAGAGGGCGTTTCGAAGGTTGCAGGAGGAGATTATGCGGTATAGTGATGATCATTCATTGTTCGCGTGGAAGAGCCAAAATGCGGGTTCATTTATTCGTGGACCGCGTGGGGTCGATGTATTATCATCGGGCTCAGGGTTGTTGGCAGCCTCACCCGATTACTTCGCCAGCACCAGAGAATTCAAGCACGCGCCAAGTCGGGAGAACAACCGCCCCTTTGCGGTAACGAACAAGGGAATCTACATTGATCTCTATCTCCAGCGGTATGGGCATGAGGGACTGTATGTGGCGAGTATAGAGTGTAAGCATGGGCCGGGTCACTATTTGGGTATTTTTCTTGAATGTATTGATGAGGAGACGCAGCAGTTTTGGAGAGCGAGGCCTGAGGAGTTGGTTAGAGTGGTGGCCTCGGGGAGAGGGCAGTTGAGGGGGATTTATGTTAAGCCCCCGGACGATCTCTCTTTCAGCAGGATAGCATGAATACTGAGCTGTGCTTTGTTGGGATGGAAGGCATCCGACTGCTGAGCTCTGCAGGCAACATTTGCCTGGATACGAACGCCAATCAACATACCTAGCTCAAACGTGCCACCGGAACTACGACACAGTTCATGGGGCGCGCTGACCTTTCATGATCTTTTGTAGTCCACATGTTGCTTCAAGAACTAAAAGGTCCGTCTTATCTTCCAACCACTTTTTTCAGGGCCTCTCCATGTCGATTCATGCTTCCGCCGTATATTGCGACGGCACATACGCCGCATTTCCCGGCCTCTGGTCATGCTGTAGGACCGCCAATTTCCACCTACACCCACTACACCGATGCTCGGTATCATACCCCATCTTCATACAGTCCGGTATCAGACCGCATATACCAAGCAGCAGGGCGCTGCGCATCGCATACGAAAACCTTAGCTGCCTAGTCGTCATCAACGACAACCCATCATCAGCGAACATCCACATGAGACACGAAGATCAATCTCCAGGAGTAAGTGTGATTAGATACGTACCGAGTTGTTTCGCTGGCAACGCGGTTGACGATTGTCTCCCTCCGCTCCCGACAGTTGGGGCAGTCGACGAAGTCGGGCTCAAACCCCAACCCATCCGTCGGCCTCACAAGACCCGCATTGCCGACTACGCGCATGGGCGGCGGGGAGGTGTATGCCATGTCCGTGTTAGCGGGTGGCTTGGTGGAAGGAGCGTTGCCGCCGCCGACTTCGCGGAGTTCGGTTGGCGCTGGCATTGTCGTGGTTCTTGATGCATTGGTACTGTACAGTTGGCCTTGGCCCTGGACCTGCCCGACCTGGTACGCGAGGGCTTTGTCTGGCATGATGTAGTGGTGGTTGTGCGTTGCGAGAAGGGATGAGAATGGACGTAGGCGGATTTAATCAGCTCAACGCGGTTGGAGCTATCATGGGGGTGGACGAGGAATATGCCGTTGCCGCGGATGCAACATATTCTTCAAGCTCGAGCACGGGTCAGATGGATTGTGCTCAGCCACTTGTTTGGGGCGAGGAGGAAATGGGCATGCATGATGATGTACTGTACGAGTAGAGGTGGGGCGTTGCTGTTTTACCACCGCGAGGGGTGTGGAGACTCCTGTGGCGGGGAGGGTGTACGCGTAAGGCTGTGGAGGTGGCATCTAATGACGTTTTTGTTCGCCGCATGCCTGACAGCTGGCCTTTGTAACTGTTGACTTGCGATCTAGTGGTCTTAATGTGTCGTTCGTCCGGTTTCTCTCGATCTCTTCTCAATATCTCCTAACCTGTTCCGCCAGATGTAGCACTATTGAGAAGGTTCTAGATCAGAGAATTTCCAACCAAATGCCATGGAACTAGAGACCGAAGACTTCTAGTTGGTTTAGGTATGGTAGATGTTGTTCGTGCTTACGGAGTACCTACTTACCACGAGGTACCTAGGTACCTTATAGGTAGCCCCTCTGCTAAGGGATTTTGGGACTAGTGTCTGCTGACGAGCAGCTAGCCGGGCATGGAAGCCTGTTCAAAGGGAATCGCAGTCAAGCATCTAGATTCTGTCTTGTACTAATACACCTTCCCTACAAGCGGAAAATATCATTCAATTGGCCACTGGCCATCAAACAAGAGATGAGCGAGATGAGAGAAGAGCTCGAAGAGGCTGAGATAGAGAATTATGAGCAGAGACCTTTTATTCCTCATGATGCTCTCAAAGATCTGTTACCAGAAAGCAAGATAGCAACCCTCATCAGCGCTCTGGCCGGAAGGGGAGTGCTTGAGGTCTATCAACAGCGTGAAATCATCAACGCAATCCTCGACAATGGGTTGCGATTATTCGCGACGCTGTTGTCTTTGTCTCGACCAGAATTGATCCTGAAATTCATCGAGACTGATCATTTCGCCCAAAGTCAGCTGGATTCGAGATTGCCTCTTTCCCATCACTCCCTGGGATTGATCCTTCGGGATGAGAAGCTGAGTGCTAGATTTTACAAGCACCAATGGAAATTTTTGGCACCTTTCTTTCGCGCAGATCAATCGCACCGCGAACTCGAAGACAACGTGATTCTGCCTTTCATTGACTGTAAAAGATTAGGGGAGGGTGGCTTTGGTGAGGTTCACCAAATGACCATGGTAGCCTCATATCAAGGTCTAGTGCCAGAGGTGAAAGGCCAGGTACAAGTGTCTTGATCCTCCCTTGCGCTCATCTGTTAACTGAATCTCGCCATTGAAGGTCATCATTATTCGAAAACAGATAAAGCCTAAGCGCGGCGCCGAGAAAGACTTTCAAAAAGAACAACACATTCTTTCTTTGTTGCGTTGCTTGCAGCATCCCAACATCATACAGCTTCTGACCGCGTATACAATTCATCAGACGCACAACTTCCTATTTCCCCTGGCTGATGGAGACTTAAAAGACTTTCTCCGCCAGCAGCGTCGACCTCCCGGCTTCGAGACGGACAACAATGTCCTTCAAGCTTTGTATGAGCTTGCGTCGGCCATTGAGGCAGTTCACGATTACTTTTCGAATACCTTCAATGTACGCAAGATAGGCTGTCACTATGATCTCAAGCCTGACAACATCTTATACCGCTCCGGCAAGTTCATACTTTCGGACTTTGGTCTCTCACAGCTGAGTGACGAGAATGAAGGGTCCAAATCTTTATACAGGAACGGGGGAGGCGAATACTGGGCTCCTGAATGTGTTTCAATTCACGACGACTTCAAGAAACTCCATGTTGGTCGGTCAAGTGACATGTGGTCGTTTGGTTGCATATTGTCTGAACTATTGACTTATCTACAAGACGGGCCGACCGGCGTTCTAAACTTTTCCGAAGGAAGAGAGATTACGCTCGCAGGATACTGGACTTGTAAGTCGTTTCATGGTGGCGATAAGCCACATGAGGGAGTGTCTCAATGGCTTTCGAGACTGGGTGGTCGGCACAAGATCACAGACGCTCAGAAAAGCCTAAACTTGCTAATACAAGACCTGTTACAACAAGAGCCAACGGCGCGGCCAAAAGCTCAGGATATCACCCTGGGCTTGTTCTATATTGCCCAAAACGAAGTCTATCAAAGTGTCGACGTGCAGTTCCGGCCCCTCCTTGTAAAGTCTGAGCTCGAGATAGATATAGAATACGAACGGTTTCGAATCTGGGGTGAAGTTAATGGCTATCACGATCTTGAACAAACTGGTCGATTGTATGGTCGGAAGGAACCACGGAATTTTGGGGATCTGCAGCTAGTTCGAAGATACCTCTCCAGATTATCTCAAGAGGTGGAAAATGTTGCAAGAGTTCTTCAAGGTGGCGGCCGAAGACCGTACAGGGTTCTTTATCATCTTCAAAAAGTCGTCGACGAATTGTGGGATATGCAACCCTCCGTGATCCGACAAAGCATGGCTAATTCTCTGGAAAACCGCATTCTGAATACTGAAGATAGAGCTCGGCTGAAATCCATAGAGACTGCTTTTCCCGGACCAGACGCACATACATCGAAGGAACTCTCAATAGGAGACCATGCCCCGCGGGCAGTGGCGTACAGACGCATCGGTCTGTTGGCGGCTATGAAGCAAATCGCTTCGGCCCTTGAAGATCGAGTACAGTCATCAGCGAACATGCTTATCGACGAGAGACAAATCAGCAAGCCTCTGAAACCCTTTCACTGGCACAACACTGGCATACTGCATACTGCCGACGGTTCAGAAAAACCAATTCTTGTCGAATGGTTAGAATACGGCGGTGAATGGGCCGAGCGCATGGAAGAGTTGATACAACGAATTCAGGACATTGCGTCGTTTCGTGCACCATCGTCCACGAGACTCGCCTTCTCTGTACTGATCTGTGCTGGCTACTATCATGACTTGGCGAAGCATGCCTTTGGTATAGTTTATTACTTTCCGCCTCCGCAGCCGACCTCTCCATTATCTTCTCAAGACGTGGAGAAGCCCATAAGCTTACGAGACATCCTTTCGACGGTGAAATCGAGGAAACAGCGGCCGTCTCTGGATCAAGTCTTTGACGCAGCACTGAGCCTAATCAATATGGTGCTGACCATGCACAAAGCGAACTGGCTTCACAAGAACATTTCTTCCTACAACATCATTTTCTTTCCAGATCGAGCTAAACCGATCGCAGAGGCCATGACTTCACCTTACTTCATCGGCTTCAGCTATAGCCGTTTGAACTTGGAAAGTGCTTTCACCCAAGGCCCTAACCAGCAACTCGAGTATCAGCATCCCGATTACCTTCGCGGACCAAATCGGTTTTGTCAGGAGTACGAATATTACAGCGTTGGACTCGTCCTGTTAGAATTAGGCTTTTGGGCTCCTCTAGAAACAATCTCCAAAGGCATCGTAGGCAGTCCCTCCGAGATGCTACAAGCATTGGTGAAGACACATGTACCAATGCTAAAGACCTACATGGGAAGAGCATATGGGGATGCAGTGGCAGCGTGTCTGAGCAGTGATTTTGGAGACAGCTCCAACCCAACTGAAGTGCGAGAGACCTTCGAACAAAAGGTTTTGCTCAAGGTGGAGAATCGAGGTCACTGATGCTCAAAATGTAGACTTTGTTCGCTCTTAGTTCTTCACCGTCTATAGCCATTTGATTGCTTTTTGCGCCCTGTTTAAACTTGATGCAGCCCACTGGACTGCTAACAAAGCGCGCTGCCTTGCCTCGAAACATAGGCGCAGATCATCCTGACACGGTCGTTTTTATATATTTTCTCAATGAAACCAAACCGTCTTGTCTGAGTAAAACATTCGAACTGGGAGCCAGTGAAGTGAGAGGCAGTATCTTGCGGAGCTTAAGAGGTTCGAACGCGAGATTGGTATCCTTGACGAAAACATGGGAGAAGCCGGAAGGGACCGAGTGACATCCCAACGCCAAATTCGTGACAGGGACCCAAACGCATGTCTCTGCTATCGGTGATCTCGTGCTCTGTGTCAATTGGTCATTGACCGTCAGTAGAGCATTCAAACGTTGGCTCCCAGGTCCAGCTAGGAGCGACGCGGAGAGAGAAGCGCAGAATCTTGTACCCTTGGTGATAGGGATCCACAAGGCTTGGGTACCATCGTGATTGTGGACAGCCACACAGCTCCTTCAGCCCAAGCGGCTGATGCTATAGCGTCTACGAAGGGGTCAAATCATTAATGTGTAGCCAAAGGATGCAGGAGGTAAGAAAACGAACATATTGGAAAGATCGCAACGTACGTGAATGAACAAATATTACACTGTCAGCCTCCGTGGGAATAGCAATCATAGAGACCTAGATGCAACCGATGAATTCCCATGCGTCTTAAAATGTGTGTACGAGAAATGGTGGTAATGTTTTTTTGTCTTCACAGTCCCCTGCCGACGTCATCTTGCAGGACGCCTGCTTACTCGTACGACTCAGCCATGTCAGCCTTTCAGCCTCAAGCAGTCTTTACTTTCAGTGTCTACGCCTTCATTTCTACGCAAACACCCATCTCGAACCGCGCAAATTTTCCATCACTTGCGATATAGTCTACCGTGGTCATCATCCTACCATGATCAGCCAAACCCTGGAAGGGCGCTACGTGGATAAGGAAAAGCTAGTCAAGCTGCTGAAAGCTTTATTCGGGGTCGGAAACTTTTCAATCAAGGTGCGTGGCTCCTGGTCCTTGCGAGGGAACTTCCAGTGCCCCATTCTAACCGACCTATTTCACGGCAGGACGTGGATGACAGCTTCAAGCTTTCAGTGCCTCGGAAGCTTACCCAAGTACGTTATAAAGCCGAACTCAGACAAATGTCAAGGAGAGTATGGGAGCTACTGACGGTTGACTTGTTCCAAAAGAACGAACAGGCGCAAAGCAAACCTGATTAGCGTGGACCGGTCTGCGAGGCCGGTGCTGCATGTCTGCATCAGCATCAATCACTGTAGCGGGGCGCTGAGATCGGCAGTCACTCCAAGGCAGTGCATGGGGACCTTAACCAGCATTTCTTCAATATAGGTCCGGGAGGGTTATGTAATTATCCTGAAGCAATAGAAACTTGATTGATATTGCTCAAATGAGGCTCAAGGTCGAAGATCGAGAGATCTTTTCTCCCGACGAACGGCAGTCGAATGTCGAGGTTTGGCTCGGCCGTGCGCCACATACGTATGCAGACCTTGTCCCGCCCGTGCTTTCTGTCTTCTCAATCACCTACACAGTTGCGATACTGACCGAGGGGAACTTGATACACCACTGCTAAAACTTCTCCTTCTCTTCCTCTATGCAAGCTGCCCCCTAAATGACTATGCTTGGCCCCGATCGCCGCCCCGTTTGGATTGCGGCTTTTTCATAAATTCCAGTCCTGTTGGGTCTCTACTATTAAACCACAATGCTTTCCAGCTCTGATCCTCTCGCTTATTAGTTACCTTGGTCATGACGAAGAAAACATCACCGCCTTTAAAGAGATTCTAGCGGTGAGTCCACTTTGGCGCCGACCTCTGAACAAGTCAGGAAAGATCGATCAGTGACTGACCTTCGCTCAGAATATCAGAGACGCAGACGTCGATGTTTTCATGTGCGATCCCTTCGCATCTAAGTCGCACAGATCGATGTGCCTGACCAACCTTGAACTACAGATTCCTACGGCAAGAATATTCTTGGGGTCGTCTCCTGATCACGGAAGACACCTTCGGCAAAATCCTCGATAGTTGCAATGCTTTTCCAGAATTCAACGATCATGTTTCCTCTTTTGCTTTCAAGACCTCGGACTGCGATGAGCATTTTGCTACCTGCGACAGAAGAGTCCACGTTTCGGCGCAGGCCGGTCAAGAAGATCACAATTGTTATGGTATCTACCTTGCCTGATACTTTACATAGTATCAACAAGCTTACCTTGGTGATCTCAGAATTATGCTATCTACTTCGATACCCAGCAAGGCATGGGAGAAAGAGCGGCTATCCGTTCTCGCTCCGCCAGACGGCCGTCTATCAACGCTTTGACGATGTCAGAAAAACGTCCAAATGGATCTTCGTGCAGGCACCTGACGATTTTTCCGATGAACTTCGGACCTCACTCTCTTCGGGAAACCAGGAAAGATCTCCTAAGGATATTCACCGATGTGCTTTTGCCTTAGCCGAACAAGAATGGCGTGACTATATCTGCTATCTCGATGCCGAATTGAGGGTCTTGGTTCGTTTGCGGCCCTGGGAACCAATGATTGTCCTTTGCAAACTAATCTGACTTTAGGAGGAAAAGGCACTGTTTGTCGATGTCGACGTGTACAGCGAATGCGATTACTTGGTTGCCTTCGCCGATAGTCAAAAGCTCCAGCGGCTTCGTCGAAGGCTTGTCAAATGCAAAGAGGTACTAGACTGCTGCCTCGAAATAGCCCTCAGATGTCAGACGCACTGGCAGGATCTGTGCTCTCGGGGCATGCTGGAGTCCGGGGAAGATAACGCCGAGCTTGGATCGTACATCTCTCGAATCAAAACCCACAAGCGAGGCATCGAGGCCATACAAGAGCATACGGAAGGAATTGCTACTCTGGTGCGGCCATCACCGTTCCATTCCATAGCTATGAGTCTAATACTTTGCTTGTGTAGCTATCTCAGATCCTAAATTATAGGAATGAGAATATGATAGTCAAAAGCAACGAAGCCCTGAACAAAAACAGCGACGCCATGCGCGAGATAGCCATTGCCGCCAAAGCGGACAACGAGCTCATTTCCGTTCTGATCGGCAAGTCGCAAAACGATTCGCACACGGTCAAGGTACTTACCTATATTGCACTTATCTACCTACCAGCCAGCTTGGTCGCTGTAAGTTTGACTCCTAGAATGCGATCTTGACTACCATGTTCCACAGAGCTGAACGATTGGTCCTTTTAGGAGATATTCAATTCTAATCTCATACAAACAACGAACGGCGAACCAGAAGCTGTCGGCACTCACCTGGTCCTGTCACGATCGTTCTGGCTCTATCCGTCCATCACGCTCGGCCTGATGGTGTTGACTTTCGTGCCCATCTTTGGGTTGCTGTTCAATGATAGGAGGCTACGTCGGTTGCCTTTGAAATTACTTGGCAACAACAAGGAAAGGGACTAGTTGTAGATATGGGAACAGCATAGCTTATCGAACACGCTGACTTGTTGATCGCGTACTCATACCTTGCCCTTGACAGAGGGGCGAAGCAATTTTGCGGCTGCTCCTATCGACTCAACCTACATTGAACGGAGACAAGACAATTGGATTTTCTGGCGTCTTTCAAGAGCATTTTACTTTCAGAATATGCGTCACGTTTCACGAATCTTCTCTAGGAGAGAATGCTGACTCCAAAGCCTCGAAGTGGACTCGTCGTTTCGAGTCCCTGCAACCCAGCGACGACATCGAAAGCCTGGAAAAAGCACCGACGCTCTCTGAGCCGCCAGAAGCCAAATTCCGGCCACGGTTTCACGTCTAATTAGTTGACCATGATCAGTGGTCCCACAGTCCCCACGGGATGACCAGCTTGATGGTAGCCTCACGTTTTGAAATTGTGCGCTTGGCCTATCCACTTCTTGATCGTGATCCAACTCTGGTGCTTTCAAGTGATGAATACCGTATGCACGATCTCCGCTATGGTGGGCTGCACGCAACGGGCATGCGTATATCATCCTATTACCATTAGAGAAAATGGATCTGTCCATTGATAGTTGTCGTCGTGCCATACAAACAGCATTCCCAGTCGCGGTTCTCAGCGGACATGGACCAGTGGCTTCTGTCCTCCTACGTACAGGGCTAGAAATGATGTCCACCCTCTACAATGGATGGACAGCGCTAGAATGGGCGATTGCGAAAGAAACACTATGATGTGGTGAAAACTTTGCTGACGAGAGAAAAGAAATCGGAGACAAGTATGAAAAGGATAGAAGCGGGTCTCTCTCTAGCGGCCGCAAGGGGGTATGATATTATACTGCAGCTTCTCCTGGAATACAACCCAAACCTGAAGCGAGGAACGAGAACGACGAAACACCTCTCTTCCGAGCTGTTGACTGTGATCATTATGAAATTGTTACTTTACTTCAAAGGGAAGGAGCCAATGTGAACGCAATCACGAAAAATGGCTGGACCGAGCTTTTTCCTGGCAAGGGAGAGCCAGTATTGCACCAGGCATTTCAGGGCTCGATCATGACTGCCACGCTGTTGCACTACGGAGCTGATCTTAAGGCGAAAGATGCATACGGGCAGACAGCCCTCTACCCCACTATACAGAAGGACAGAAGAACACCGTGGAGACCCTCTCGATAAGAGGAGCCAACCTAAGCTCAAAGACACTGACGAGATACACACCGTGGTCTCTCGAGGCGCATAATGAAGACCGCAAAAGACACCCACAGGCTGATCAAGTCCCGGTACCCCACCCACGAAATCCTCGCCTCCGACTCGCACGCGCGGCCGCTCTCAAACGCTGAGCTCAGGGGAACATCGTCGAAAGCCATTCTTGGCGCATCGTCCCGCAGCAATCTCTCACAGATCCTCGAGATGGACGGTGGAGATTCCTACCGACCGCGATGTCTCACGCAGTATGTGTCGGTCAGCATTTGAGAGGGAGTTTTTCAACACCGGTTATAGGAGACATATCATAGCACCCGTGAGTCGCACTCCGTCTCGGACGTACAACCCTACCCATGGGCTGAGAAGGCCTGCGGGGACCTGGAAGAAGCCATCACGTCCACAAACGCCCGCAATGCATTTCTTTCCCGTCCATCCATCCATCCATCCCATCCCCCCTCCCTTCCCTCCCTCCTCCCCAGTCCCCCCAACAAACACGATCGCCTCCCCCTCCCCCCCGCCCCCACCGGCCGAGAGAAAAAATGCCCCCGCAAAACCTCACCTCACTCGCCAGCCAACCTCACCCCCACTCGCCGGCCCACCTCACCCTCAAAAAGCCAACCCCACCAGCCGACCAAACCCGCGATCCCAAAAATCCGCACAAACGCCCGACCGGCTCCCTCTGCACCAGTGCCGCAAAGCCACAATGCACAGCCGGCAGGCTTACGGAGCCGAAGAAGCTTTATAATAGTAGCATCCGCCAAAACGCTGTCCCCCGAGAAGGGCGTCGGTTGTTAGGTGGTGGGGCGCGGGGTGGCGTGCCGAGGAGGGAAGGGAAGGGAGCGGAGCGTGAGGACTGCTATTATATAGTATAGGGTACATCTGAGTGCTAGGAGGATGATGATGATGATGATGAGGATGATGAGACTAGACTCGTCGGTTCGAAGGATCCCCTGTCATTCGGGATTGGTAAGTGACGATTGTGTCGGAATGGGAGGTGGAGAAAGCGCAGAGATTTGATTGAGTCCGACCGTTGTGGGTCAGGGGGTGATGTTGGGGATATCGGATGCTGGTTGCTAAGAATGACTTCTGGCCGTGTTTATTATTGTCATCGAAACGCAGACTCGTGCGTTTGTAATTTATAAATAACCCCGACGATGCCCGCAAAAGCCACGGCTATGAGCAGCGAGCCCAACGACGTCTCCAGCATAGTGATACACCGCGTGCTGTAAGCCGCCCGTATCACCGCCCCGATCGTGAACAAACACCCCGCCAAAATCGGGATACTCAGCGCCACATCGGCCAGCTCGGTAGCCAAGACCCTCCTCCCCTTCACCATCGCCTCAATCTCCTCATCCAACCGCTTCGCCATCTTCGTCTCCGAAAACTCTTCCCTGACCCTCCTTTTCCCGTTCACGCCCATCTGCCGCAACTGCTCTTCCGACATCTCGCCCAAAACCTTCTTCATGATATCCGTCCACTGCTCCACCTTGTCCACATCGCGCAACCACCCCGTTTCCGGATCCAGAACCGTCTCCAACGGCCCACCGCTGTTTGCCGCCAGGACCGGAACGCCCGCCAGCATTGCTTCCAGAGGCACGATGCCGAAGTGCTCGTTTGAAGGGGTGTAAATGAGGAGACGAGCGGAGTTTAGGAGGGAGGATTTTAAAGAGGAAGGGACGGAGAGGAGGAAGAGGATGGAGATGGAGGGAGGGATGGAGAGGGCGGAGACGAGGGTTTTGGTGGTGGCGTGGGTGAGGGAGAGGGAGGTGGCGAGGGTTTCGAGGGAGTGGTGGTAGAGGACGTTTTCGCGAACTTGGGGATCGTAGCCTCCTGGTATAGATTGAGATACAGTCACGCAAAGGGGAGGAATCATATGAGATGTTGGACATACCTGCAATGACCAATCTTACACCTTCTCGATCCTGTGGTTCCAGGCCGGCGAATGCTTTGATTGCGAGACCGACATCTTTCTTTCGCTCGAATCGATTGATACTTAACAGCACCTTCTTGTCTTTCCATAGCGGCTTGCTGTCTCCTTCGACCTTTTCATTTCCTTTGGTATCAACGCAAGGGTAGATAACCCCAACGCCTCTCTCACCACCCAAACCCTCCCATATACTTTCCACCACTCCTTTTGTAAAGCCACTATTGACTATCACCCTGTCAGCCCCTCTTATCCCCCAGCCTTCCCACCAATCGAATCCTATCCGCCATATCCTTGTATACCAGGTCTTCCTCCCCTGCACCAGCAGCAAATCCGGAAAATGGCAATAGAACAAAATCTTCTGATCCTCCCAGAACCATCGCAGGAAGGGTATGCCCGCCGACAACTGATCTATAAAAAACGCCGTTGGGTTCAGCTTGGTCAGTTCGCCGCTCCAGGTGATGGCCACTAATAGATGAATTTGTCTTAGAATAGAACATAGGATTTTGAAGCGACCAAGGATTGTAGCAGGGATGAGCCAGTCTCCACGCACGCGAACGTCGAGCGTGCCATCTCGAGCTTCGTCAAAGCAGTGATTGGGGTCTCGGTAGGATGTAAAGATAGTGATCTTGTGACCTAGCTTTTGGAGACCGGTTGCTGCATCGATGACGAGGCGTTCGGCACCACCAATACCGAGGTCGGGGTGGAAGAAGACGATGTTGTTTGCTTTGTTGGGTGGAATTTTCGGGTCTTGTTGCTTCTTTGCCTTGCGTTCCATTGGATGTATGTGGGTGATATGCCAAGTGTGAAATTGCTTTCACCTTTTTTGCTTCGTCTTGCAATCGACGTTAGAGTTTCAATACTCGTTATCTTAGTACATTAGCAACTAGCAAGCATCCGAGGTAATCTTACTTAGTACCGTAGGTAAAGTAAAGTAGGTTCCCGGACGATGACGTGCCAAGGCGGGGGCTAAGATTGAAACTTGATTGGTAACCGAGCAGTTTCCCCTGCATGAAATCTGGGAATAATTTCCAAGATGCAGGCACCGGTGGCGCTAAGAACAAAAGGACAGGGCGTTTTGAAACAATAAGGGGATTTGCACTCCTGTGCATCCTTTCACAATTCTCAGCTGCAGTCACCTGCAATTCTATGGCGGCAAGGTTGTTTGAAGGCCCCACTCCTTCTTTTATCTTTTTATCTTTTATCTTTCTCTTTCTTTCTCTCTCTCTCAAACCTCTCCTTCATTTCTTCATATTTAACCCCAATTCTTTCCAAGACTCTTCAGTCTTTCACTCACGGTCCTTACCAAAATTTGCTCTTTTCAGTTGATACCACTCGCTGGTCGAAACAAATACACTCCTTTGTTCCATAAACTCGGCTCCTGCATCTCGCTACTCTTCGAGTACCTATCATAACATCTCTTCATCCGATTCAATAAGGGCTACCATACAATGTATCCATCAGCATTGGCAGCCGTCTACGCCGTCCTCCTCACCACCCTCGCAACCTCAATATCATGTCTCCATCACACTCACACTCACGCCCACACCCACCTGTCCAAGCGAGCGACCACCCCCATGGTCTTCGCCCACTACATGATTCAATTCGCACCCCCAGGTCTGAACGGAAACCCAAATCCAGACTATAGCACAGACATCAACATGGCCAAGGCCGCCGGCTTCGACGCCTTCGCCGTTGACTACACAGACAATGCTGCCCTTTTCGCCACCAACCTCGACATCCTCTACCACACCGCCTCAACTCTAGGCTTCAAGCTCTTCCTCACAATCGACACCACCACCATGTACGACGTAGCCCAGGTCGTCAACATCACAAGCTTCTACGCCAACAGTCCTGCCCAGCTCAAAGACGGAGCCGGCAACATCTTCCTCAGCTCCTTCGAAGTCAACCCCCCAGGTTGGAACTGGCAAACCGACGTCATCGACCAGTTAAACATACAAAACATTGGCGTCAACTTCCTCCCCGGCTCCCTCGGTCAGGACGGCGCATACGAGGCCTCGCTCCCCGACCGTGGCACAGGCCTCTTCACCTGGATCCATCCTGCCCTCTCCGCCTCTGAAGAAGCTGCCGTCGACCAAACCTTCGCCGACGCGCGCGACTCCAGCGGCAAGCCCTGGATGGCAGGCGTAGCCCCATGGTTCTTCAAGCGTCTCGCCAGTGACACCAATTGGCTGAACGCGCAAGACTCCAACATCTACATCGACCGCTGGGTAGAGCTGTTGAAGCTAAAGCCCGACTACATCGAAGTCATCTCTTGGAATGACTTTGGCGAATCTCACTACATCGGCCCCGCGGACAGTACCCCCGAGGCTGAACTCATGCTGCCGAGCAAAGCCGACTATTACGGCAACCTCGACCACAGCGCTTTCCTCAAGATGTCCACCTTCTTCATCAACACATACAAAGCCGGCGAGACCAACGTAACCGTCACAGCAGACGAAGAAGACGTCTTCTTCTTCTACCGTCCCCAGCCCGTCAACAACATCCCCACCAATGACACCTATCTAGACAACGCCTGGCCTTTACCCGAGAACGCCTCGAGTATTGCGGACAACGTCTACGTCGTGCCATTCCTCTCCGAGCCAGCGACCATTTATCTCAGCTCCGGCGGGTATAGCACGTCCATGGACGCGCCGTCATTCCTTAGCAAGAGTGCGATCACGTTCAATTCTCCCGCCATGATGGGCCAGCAGATTTTGACCGCCAGTCGGCCCATCAACGGCCAGACGCTTAACAAGACGGGTACCGTGGATATCACGAGCGGCGGGTCGAGGTACCAAGGGAACGTGGTTGCTATCTAGGGGGTGACTAATCAGTCTTTGGGCAATGTATTTGTGAGAACTGGGAGAGGGAGAGAAGAAGGATTTTTCATCTGGCTATGTATGACTCGTGCTTGCAGGAGGGATTCGTGAGATTATTATGGAGGGCAGAGCCTATTTCGCTTCGATACTTCTTGCTTCTAATGTCCACCCTTGTCGGGACAGGTGTACATATTACGCTACAACCTTGCTGAGAGAGTGAGGAATCAAGTCACAAGCTGACTCTCCGTCTTGCACATCCACATTTGTCAACATCCACTCTTCTACAAAATGATTGACAGACTGATTGATTGATCGATCCGCCCCATCCACATCTACCATCCATCCCACCTCCACAAAGCCCCCTCTCTAATCGCCAACTATCACCAGCCGAATCATCCATCCTCAGCCCGTCAGACCCATCAAAACGAGTCGAGCGACCCCCGAGCAGAAGAAGAACAATCCATCCATCCCATCCCACTCCTCATCCATCCCTCAAGCAACCGCATCGACCCATTCATTCATCCCCATGAAGCGACGCAGCCAAAAACGCCACCGGTTTAACTCTCTAAGTAGACTGCAAGAAAGCGAGACGAGCCAAGCTTCAGACATCAGAGGTCGGAAGCACCGACCGACCAAGCAAGCAAGCAAGCAAGCAAGCATACATCAGACGCCCGGAAAGGATAGAAATGTTGTGCCCACGGCCTTGAAGATGGATGGATAGATAGATAGATAGATAGATAGCCTCTCCGAACGAAAAAACGCCCGGCAAGAAGGGGAAAAAAATCTATGACCGACCGGCCTCGATATGCGCCATGGAGGGCGAGATGACTGAGAGTATAGGTACAAGGTAAACGGAAAGGGGGGGGGGTATATCTCCGAGCGCGTTGGTGAAAGTATGGACAGTAGAAGAAGAAGAAGAAAAAATAACGTCGGAACTTCGGAAAATCGTAACGGGCAATGCGAGGTTAGCGCGGATGGGACCCCGGGAGGTGGACAGCAAAAGATCTGTCTCCGTGCTGGATGAGGAGAGGAGGAGAGCTCTAGAAGCAATTGAACCCCCCTCCCTTCTTCTTCCTCTTTCCCTCCACGGCCCTCATTCTCTCCTCCAACTTCTCCCTCGCCCTCTCCGCCTCCTTCCTCTTGTCCCTCTCCTCCTCCACCGCCTGGACGCTATAGCGCGCCCCACTCCTCTCCTTCTTCAGGTCTTTGTTCTCATCCTCCAACGCCCACGTCTTCTTCTTCCAAGCTTCCATATCAAGCTTGCTCTTATTCGTTTGGAACTCGAGATCGACAAGGGCTTCTTCGAGGGTGGCCGTGAGTTGTTTTTCCGCAAAGAGATGCTTTTCCATTTGTTTGATATGGGCGTCTTTTTCTTCCAGGTGGACATTGTGTTGGGAGATTAGGTCGGCTGTCTGAGTGCTGGGCGAGTGGTGGGAGAAGGTGGCGGATGTGGGGGAAGTGACGGAGTTGGGTAGTGGGGGAAGCGGGATGGCCGGTGGGGGTGACGGAAGGGTGGCGACGGAGCCACTCTTGCGGATGTTGGAGTTTGAGAGGGAGCGTTCGAGCGTTTGCTGGTGGAGTTCCCGCATTTGTGTCTTTGCTAGAGTCAATAACGTGCAAAGGAGGATGGTTTGGAGACCGACATACCTGTAGCTGCTCGACTTGGATCTGGGAGGCTTCCAATTGCTTCTCGAGAATGCTGATCTGAGGTTGGTTGTTGGTCAACATAGACAGCCTACTGGTACTGGCTTGCTGTTGGTCGAAGGCGTTTTTGATCTGCTCTTCTAATTCATCGTTGATGATTTCCAATCTCTCGTTCTTGGATTTGAACGTTTCCAGCTCGGCGATGTTGGTTTCGTTCGACTTCCCGGCTGCTGCGATCTCAGATTTGAGAGTCTGGACCTCTTTCTGAAGCTGATTGCGCTGTCGGTCCATCTCATCACACTTTGCTTTTGACAGCCGAAGCTCGTCTGCAAGGTTGCTATTAGCCTTTTCTAGCTGAGTCCTCAAGTCGATAACTTCTGTCTCGAGCCGGGTAACTTGGGCCGTATATACACCCTGCATTTCTTGGAAATTACGGTCCAACTCTGCTTTTACTGCGGCATGCTCCCCGATGTTTGAGCGCAAACCATCCAATTCGCGTGAATGTGAGTCATGCAAAGATTTCAGACCATGCTTGTGAAACTCAACAGTGGACTGATGCTCTTCGACCTGCCGCTCGAGCATCGAAATATGTTGACGATGCGAGTCAAGTTCCTTTTCGTTGTCGCTTCTGAAGCGTGCTGCCGTGTCAACCTGCTCACGAGCTGTTGCTTGTAGTTCCTCGAGTCTCGCAATTCTATCCACGTGTAAATCAATGGTTGCCTTTTGCCCGTCAATCTCTTTGATCAAAGTGTTGATAATTTGGACATGGTCAGTTTTCTCATCTGCCGCATTAGCCGAGATAGATTCGGACTCCCGAGCCTTCTCCTCAGCTTGTTTACGCATCATCTCGACACTGGCCAAGGTGCTTTCCAGGTCGGTGATAGTGGATATCAGCCTCTTCTCGGAAGCTTGCATAGAGTCGACGGCTGTTCTGTGCTTCTGCTGCCACTGGGAGACCTCGTCCTGCAGTCTCGCGACGTCTTGCGTTGGCTGCATGTTGTGGCCAAGCTGCTTGTCATTCGACTCGATAGTCGTAGCTGGAGTCTCGGGGAAATATCCTGGCATAGCTGATTTGGCCGATTCGGCGTGTTCCAAGGACCTCGTTAGTGACTCGATTTCGCCGACCAACTCCTGCTCTCGATTCGAATGTCTTTCCTGCAGCATCCTCATCTGAGTATCGTTCTGCAACAACTGTTCGTGTAAGGTAGATACCACGGACATGTCGATGGGTGACGATGTCTTCATGCTAGTGCGCTCTCGTGTGAGGCCAGATATCATTGTCGCCTTTGCATCCATTTCCCTTTTCAGAGTTGCTAGCTCGGCTTCGAGAAGCTGTACCCGTTCTGACCGTTGATGGAGCTCATGCATTGCTGTATTAAGATTGATCTCAAAGCTCTGCATCGTATCAGGCTTGTCGTCAAGATTGTCAGCGGCGATGTTTCTGAGCGATGCGAACGAACGGTGAGCACGGTCTATCGTCATGACGTTTTGGCTGGATTTTCGCCTAATCACAGACGAGGTCGGCGATTGTGGGTTGTTCATCTTTGCTTTCTGAACTTCTGCCTTGAGTTCTTCAACGACGTCCAGCGTTTCGACATGTAGCTCTTGCAATTCGGAGTATCTGCCGTGCAAGGTTTTTAAGCCTTCATCTTTCTCAATGTGGGCCCTCTTCAATTCGTCCACTTCTTGCATCAAAGACTCTTCACGAGGTGAGATTCGGCTCCAACCCCCAGGAGTAATCTTCCTGAGGGGACTGCCGTCCGCTGACGGCTCCACGGAAGTGCTTGAATCCCCAGCTAAGGACAATTCCGATGACAGAGATCGCGAGGATGGTAGTTGTCCCCCATCTTTTAGCCCATTCACCCTCGCGTCTCCTAAAAAAGACGTTGGTCGTGTAGATATTGGGGATGCGACTGATTCTGCTGCAGCCGGGTGACGAGCTTCATCGACGGCATCTTGCATTTCTGCGAGTGTACGTAATGCTTCATCGTACTTTGCAGATATCATCTCGAAGTCGCTCACGGTTGACTCATGCTGAATCCGAAGATCGAAGAGCTCTTGGGTGACATCTTGGAGCTTGTCTGCTACGACGTTGGACCTGGCTTGCGCAAGACCTTGTTGCTCCGTATCTAAATGAGAAGCGGGACTGGCTCTTGCCGTGCTAACGGTCCGGGTTGCCTGAAATCCATTTGGTAGCTGCGAGCTTTGCTTCCCCAGTGAGAACCCAGTCTCCTCCTCCTCGTCTGATTCTGGGATTGCGATGTTTGCCGCTTCTTGAAGAGTGGACATTGCGGCTGACTTTGCCACGCCGTTGGTCAGAGGTTTGCTTGGAGCCTGATTTTCATTCGAGTTACCGTTAGTGTGAAGATGATCAAACTCGTACAGCAGGTTATCTAGCTTCCCAAGGCTCCTTTGGCGTTCAATGACATGTTCAAGTCGATCCAACTCACGCTGCTTGAGCTCCATGTCTTGGTCCGCCTCGGCGAGCCGCTCCTCCAAGGTAGCTATGTAATCCTCACATTGAGACTCGTTTTCACGGATCCGGGCAATTTCTTTACGCAATTCCATCACAAGTGCTGCAGACTTTTCGTCACCGGAGCTTTGACCGTCGAGCTTAGCCTCTAGGTTGTGCAGGTATTGCTCATTGTTAGCATCCCGCTCCATTAGCTTGTGCAGTCGAGTCTGAATTTGCTGGTTCACACTTTCAACATAGGCGCACTTGTTTTCTTTCTCGAGCAAGGTACTCTCCGTGGTGGCCAAGGAAGATCTGGTGTTCGAAAGCGACGTCTCCAAGCTTTGGATAGTCTTCTCATATTCAAGTACAACTTGCTCCACTGCTTCTGCGAATGAATTTGAGCGCTTCAGTCTCTCGACTGCGGAGTCTCCAATTGCTTCTGTGAGCGTCGGCGTCTCTCCAGATTCGTTGTCCCTTGCTTTGGTGATCTCCGAGATGAGCTTCGCATGTCGATGGCTGAGGGCAGTGTAATTCTCCTGGACATCGAGAAGATGGCTCTCGAGCTCTAACTCCCTCTCGTTCTGCCGCTCGACTCGCTCATGAGGCGCACTCATCCGACGGTCAGAATGACTGATTTGATCACGAAGGAATGAGACTTCTGCTCTGAGACGGTCAATAACAGCTTGTTTTTCGCTCTCGTCCGAGGTTTGCTGAATCTGGGGTTTGCTCTGGATGTTCCTGGCCCGTTGTGCGTAGTGCACGGTGTTTAAGGTTTCGCTCAAGTGGAATTCCGCTGGTGTCACGCAGGCGATCAAGTATGTAATTGCGTTACCACCAAGAGAATCCTGCAGTACTCGGGTAAGCTTGGAGTCGCGGTATGATATATGGGTGCCAGAGTGTCGGGTTGAAAGCTGAGAAATCACTTTTCCCAAACTTGCAAGACCTGCGTTAATGGAAATCCCTTCTCTTGCACGGTCTCCTGAAGCACCGGTGTTCTTCAATCTTTCACTCCCGGCCAGATCGACGAAATGTAGCTTGCTGTCAATCGTAACCCAGTCTTCCGCCCCTGTCATGGCTTCTACTGGCATGGAGAGCCTCTTGTCTTTTTTGGGGGTGTGCGCCTTGTTCTTTCGCTGAACAAGATTAATGCTAAACACTGCATGGGAGCGAGATGATTTGGCGTTGAGAGCGGTCGAGTCCGTCTGCCGAATCGAAGATCCCAGATTTAGAGCTGCCAGGAGATCTTCGATGGACTTTATGTTGACCTGACGGAGCCCGGTCAGGAGAATGCGACCTTTTACGTCCTCCCGGATAGCCACAGTCGTCCGTGCGGCCAGAGGTACGGATTCTGGTACTAGCAGGTCTCGCAATTGCTCGTTGTATATCTAAAAAGCCTCTGAGTAGTGCTAGATTCACCAGGAGTTGCGAAAACCAACCTCAACATATGTAGCTTTCATCTGCCAGTTCTTATCTTCGCTTGCCTGTGCCTGAGCCTTTGCCATTGCTGCTAGCCCCACGGTCGAGTGCATTGAATAGCGGGTAGGTGTGCGAAGACCAGAAGATCCGCTTCTTCGCAGTGTTGGTGGCCCTGCAAGCTTTTCGAACAGCGCGCTGGCGGCTCGGGGAATCACACCTAGCAAATCGTGCATTAGCGGAGCACCATTGAGGAAAGATTGGCCGAATCCGCATCTCCTGATGTTTGTCGCCACATTGGTATCACCTACCCATGAGTCGAGGATCACTCTGCTCAGCAGGGCCAGATGTCCCCATCGTGTATGACTTTCCGGAACCGGACTGTCCGTAGGCAAGGACAGACACGTTGTAACCCTGCACGAAGGCATCGACGCTTTCATTCACGTATTGCCAAACGCCCTCTTGATAGACATCCTCTCCGAATACCCTATCGAACAGGAAGAGTTTTTGCCCATGTGGTGACTCGATGGCTAGGCTGCTTGGTGAGGTGTCGTGAACCATGGATCTCTGGAAGCGCTGAGGGATGAGTTCGAAGCCTGGATCATTCGGTCGCAGCGGTGGACGGATTCGTACAGCTACGACAATACCAAGTCAGCACTGCTTGGTCTACCACTCCTACCGTCATCCATCGCTGCATACCGACTTTGACCGAGACGGCTGGTCTCCCCTCCTCGTCTGAATTTCTGCTGCCTCCACCCTGTTTGCTGCTGTAACTCATCCGGCTCTGGCTCCGGGCTGCCTGGAAGACTCCGCTCATTGGGCGTGCCGGAGAGGGCGAAGAAGGCGGTGAGCAGGCCATTCCTCCTGTGACGCCCGTTTGGGCGCGAAGGGCGACAGCAACTTGTTCAACAATATCGCAACCGGGTTGGTTTTGATGCAGCACAATCTCGCATGTTTGTGTGCTTTTGTCCGTGTGGGTGGGTTAGGAGGATGGAGATGATTGGTTTGCTGCAAATGCGGCCGATCCCGAGTCATCAAACAAAGGGTGCAGGTGTCGCGAAGTGGTGGAAGCTATGATTTGGAGTCCCTTTGTTCTTTTTCCGCGAGCAAATAGTGATACAGTGATATGGCGAAGTGAAGAAGATGGTAAAGGGTGAAGCAAGATGTTAGGTAGTAGTGACGATACTTGTTCGTTCCAAACTTTCACTTTTGCAAGCGGAGTGTTTTCTGGGAATTATTGGGGATAGGGGACCTAAGGGATCTAGGGGGGGACCCATTAACGGGATCACCTCCCCTTAGCGTCACCAGGCGTCACCAGCGTTACGGGGGTTTACTTTTAAGTAAAGTACCTTACCTTATGTACAGATGGTAAGTCCCTTAGACACTCTGGACGCCCCCTCGCCCACTACTTTAAACTCAACAAAGTGTTCTTCAGTACCCGGCTTTTGATCATGTATCATCTTTACAACATTGTAACATACAACATACAACATACAACATACAACATACGGACCATTTACGAAGCCTTAACACTTTTACCTACAGCACCTTTCTCAGTAATCTACTGCAACAGTGCAGAAATTCTTCTTTTTTGGCTATTCAGTCAATGGGGATGGCGACTGTCGGTACTGTGTCTCCGCACTGTGTCGTCCTATTTGCCGGAGAGATTTGGAATTCTAAACATTGACGCATCATGGCTTGCAGACGCTCGCGAAACTTTCCTTGAGACGACAAAACCGTTTTTTCCAACAGGCACATGAGAAACTCGTGGCGACAAGGAACATGTCGCACCATGTATGCACGGGAAGCATGGGAAGCATCATTACAAGTTTCAACCTTCACCTGTGGGCCGTGCAGCATGGCATGGCATGGCGTGGCCACCTGGGATCAGCCAAGCATTTCTTCAGGAAACAGGGGGTTCGCGTCTGCCATCTGTCTATCGGTCATCGCGCGCAATTGGCAGGAATTGAAGGTGTGCAGGAGGCCAGACTGCTCCACGCAAGATGCAATTGATCCGCAGTGTCGGAAAAGTCCTAAAACTATCGGGAACAGGACTCACTTTAAGCGTCGAAGCTTGGTTGGATAAAGAAGCTACCTACCTAGCTTGATTTCAAGGCAACCCGCGGCTCCTCCTATCCGTCCGGGCGGCGGCTTGAGGCTTGAAGTGACTTGAAGACACAATGCCAATTCCCCAACTCTTATTGGCTCATTGTCCTTTGCCACCACTTGATTACATCACTCAAGAATCCATCACTCGCCATGTGGGCCACGCATACGAAAGATCCCGATCCACCGAGCTCACGGCGGATTACGGGACACAATACATACATTACGTATTCTCGATGGCATCAGACTGGTAGAATTCGATGTTCTACCAGTCAAAAAAGTCGATCTTTCACAAAGATAGCAAGATTTGCAAGACTTGATCAGCAGTTACGAATCACAAATTGTTACTTATTATGTGGACCAAGAAGACATGTTCCTCCTACCCACTATCCAAGTCCCTTTTGCAAAAGCCACAGGACTCCATGATGAATAAGACATCAGCTTATAACATCTCTTGTCATCTATTAGGTTGGTACCTGCTTGGGGACATGTTTGGGCTCCTCCCTACACTTGGCGACTCGGCTGACAATTCAGATGTTCTATTAACATTTAGTCATTACTGCGTACCTTTCGAAGCCTGTCGGTAACATACTGTGTCTTCGTTGACCTCGACCCTCCCCAGAAGTTCAGTGGCTGTGCCTGCGGTTGCGGCGTTGGCGCTCTGCTGTCCTGGTAAGGCTCCTGTGAATGTTGTTCCATCTCCAGAGGCTTGGAGCTGATATACTCTTGCATGTGCTTCTCCGCAGGCGAGGGCAGCTCGGCCACTGGAGGCTGTGGAGTGGCCAGTGGATCTTGTGCTGCGTGCCTTGTGTATGGAGGGGTGTCATAAGCAGGTTCGTGGTAGTTGGGCGTTCCCGAATATGGTGTTGCTGGAGCAATTGGAAACGAAGTCATCTGGGGCGGCGGCGATCTGATGTCAGGCTGGTCTCCTGGCGGATTCTGTGCCCCGGGTGCCTGGTACTGATTCCGCCTCATGAATTGGAGCATGGTCTTTTGGCGTCCAAGAAGGAAGAATAGGGCTCCGATTAGGACCGCGACTGCGATCCCCCCAATTACAATACCCACAATGGCGCCAGTCGATAATTTGTGAGAAGACGCCTCGGGCGTGTGCGAGGCATAAGCGGTAGAAGACGTTGCCTGCGTAGATGCCGGCTGAGAGGTCGAACCATTCGCATTGATTTCCGGGTTGACATCACCCGAGGGCACCCCCGCTTCTGACGGGAAAGGTTCTCCAGGTGCTAGCATGTACTGCGCATTAGCCGCATCTTGCTTTTGCGTGGCCAGCGATACTGAGTCGTTCTGCTGATCGTCAACACACCCATATATCGAGGTTTGGGCGGAATCAGCCTACAGGATTGATAACCCCAACCATCTGATAGTTGATGCATGAACCAGGAGCTGCGCAATAAAGAAAGATGGGCTCAGTGTCGTTGATGGTCAGATTCCATGTTGGCGGCTGTTGACCGGATTTAGCAAGGCAATATGGCCACTCGGAGTATCACTGACGTTAGGAAGGATCTTATCAAGCGGGAAAAATCCCGACCAAAATCCGACTTTGTTCTCCCCGGTATCTTCATACGGTATGCAGGGCTGTTGGTACTCCGCGCGACCAACGGAGTGGTTTGGTGGGAAGAATTCGAATTCTGCGAATCTGGCATAAGCAGCAGCTACCACTCTTACTTTCAAACAGTCATACGAATCACGTCTCCCACATTGGCTATTAATGAGTCAGGGTCAAATTGGTTCAGCGCCTATAAGTGACAGCATTATCAGCGTTCTCCAAATTCACATTTGCAGACCCGGAGCATGCATACCTTTCCCACAGTCACAATGTGTGTTGCATACGAAGAGCCAGACGCTGTCAAAATACTCGGCGCCGCTGATGCCGGCGATGGCGTCGAGTCCTGGCCCAGAACCACGTTTGCAAGGGCAACAAGACACAAAGGAAGTACAACCGAAGCCATCCTGTTCTATACTGCCCCAACAAACGCTGGTAAGATGTGTAATGAGATACAAGTACGCGCCGAAGGGAAGCTTAAGATGTACGACAGATCACACAAATTCCCAGGAAATGAGAATGAAAGGCTCGAGGCGTTCTCTCTTCTTGCTGCGCCATTTCACTCAACCAGTTTCTTACAGCTGACCGCGGCTAGGCTACTTTGCATGCACGATCATGCGAGGTGCGTCGTGAGTTGGGTAAGATTATGCTAGTTCCGGAGAACATGCGGCAGATCATCGCTAGAGGTATGCATGGTTATAGCCTCACCAACGAACACACTTCTGTGAAGTACGCTCAAGGCTGAAACGGAGAGCGAGACCCTTCTGCTCATGAGCCAGTCCTATAAGTACAGCACTTCGGTGCATGTTGAGATGCATCGAAGGATATTATCTCAATTGCTTTCCTTGAGACAGTCCCAGATATCGATACTGCACACTGGGCACTGCTCGGTGTTACTCAGTAACAACCCTTAGAGGGAGTGTTCCTTGACGGAGTTCCAACGCTTGGCATAGATGCAGACGCATGTAATTGCCATGCAGAAATGCTCTTTCGGATAAACATCTTATCGGAAGAATCGGGGAAAGCGGCTTCTCTCGCTTCTTTTGCCAAGCACGGTTACCTTAGGTTTTCTTATAAATCTGGAGGCCAGCGTCGCTAAAGATAGGCGAACGTAAGTGGTAAGGCAATCAAGCACAATCCGCATGAATTTGTGTCATGCATGATGCCACCAATGCTATCGGCGTTGGGATTACGTGGGATTTTGGCACAAACGTTATCGAAGGTCCCCGGTTTGGGGAGGCTGAAAGATTTTAGAAGCACCAGAAATGTCTCCAGGATAATGGAGTGGGCGGAGTATTTGCAGAGTTACCTTTGCGAGTCTGATCAAGGGTCAAAAGAACTCATGGTGACTACTATTTCAAGTCGTCCTTGCTACAGGCGCTATACGCTGCTGCGTTTCTCGTGGTCTCATACCTGACTGGAGATTGGCGTCATTGCTTTCCAACATCATGCATACCAAGTCTTCGACTAAATATCAGACGAGGCGTTCTTGCTTTGACTCCACATGGCCTAAGACTATTAGAGATGGGCTATGAACAGTGCCCGGTGCTGTTGTTGTCGCTTCCACCAGATGCCAATTCACAGGGCCTCTAAGCATATAGATATCTCATTCTCGTCAGGTGTAGACATGCTCTGCAACCGCGACTATACCTCCCATTGCAGAAATTGAAGAAGTGGCTCTGATGCAGCAAAAAAGGGGACTGAAGCAACGTGAAGGAATGAAGCAAAAGCTACACCGCAACCGCCTATCTGATGATCTCCTTTGCTGTTACGGACATAGACCGGGAACAGCCACCAGTCCAGCCCAAGCTACAAGAGATTCTCCTGAACGTTTCACAGCCTGGTGGAAGCGACAATGTCCAATGTGGCATTCGTGTTTACATTGACGCCGTCTATATTGATTCCACTGCAATGACTACAGAAATCTTAGAGCTCGAACGAAGACATTCACGCCTCGCAAAATCGTTCCGTGCTTTACGTACTCGTATCGGACGCAAGGATGACAGATAACGGCTCCTTAGCGCCTTGGCACCCAGGGCCAGCGGCAGTACCTCGGTTCCGTCAGCACGGCTCCCCCAGATTCCAAGACGCGAAGAACATCATCCTCCCACCGTCCCCTCTTCTTCTTCTTCTTCTTCTTCTTCTTCGAACCCCAACATGGCCGCTTCCTCCTCGCCCTACGTGACGCTGATATCCAACGACGGCTTCGAGTTCATCGTCAGCCGCGACGCCGCCTGCGTCGCCGGGACCGTCAAGAAGATGTTGGATCCGCACAGTGCGTGCCCCGCCCCACACTCCGCTCTCCCCGCTCCACGGCCCGCCCACGCCCACTCCATCCCCGCGAGAGTGGCTATACTGACGGTGTCTATGTGAGCGCAGGTTCCTTCGCCGAGTCAATCTCGGGCCGGTGCACGCTGGGCACGATCAAGTACGTCCCCCCCTCTCCCGTCTCCGCTACTTGATCTTCTACGGTTTTCCCCTACGAGGGATCTCGCCCGGCTTACGCGTTTTTGGAACAGCGGCGTCGTGCTCGAAAAGGTCTGCGAGTATCTGTACTACAATCTGAAGCACAAGGACGAGAAGGACGTGCCGGACATGGAGATACCGCCGGAGTTGTGCTTGGAGCTGTTGATGGCGGCGGATTATTTGCATGTCTAGAGTCGAGATGGAAAGTCTTGGTCCCGTGATGGAGGGATGGTGAAGAGGGAGAGGCGGAAAGAGGTGGCATAGAGAGGTGACAGGACAGGAGATTTGGTAAAGGTCGAGAGGGTCGATTGATCATTGCATTATACCCAGGTCACGGAGTCAATGAATCACGAGCATGAAGCAGCTTTCTCCAGGGCCGAGCCGAGCGCCATCTGCTTCGTGACTACTACCCATCTGAGCATATGCGTTCGTCCCCTCCTTCCCCATGGGCCGAACGTCTATAGACGATGGTATATCAACTCTCCACTCTTCATTCAAACTCTTCTCTCTCTTCCCCAAGAAGTCTTCTGATGAACTGCGGAGCACAATTTCCCCACTCCTGCTCATTTTCCCTTGCCTCTGCCCCTCCCGCCTCCCCTTCCCCTTCCATGGAATCCTCCTCTCTTCCCACCACGCCCCCTGCCTCTAGTCTCATAAACCTTCTCCTTCCCAAACCCTGCATCCGCAATCCTCATATAGCTCACAACCCCCTGGTCTACAACGGCTAATAGCACATTCCGCCATCCATGCTTCACACGCCTATACGTCTGCCCCTCACTACCCGGTGGTGGGGGGTCGTAAGGCACACTCTGCAGCAAGTCGTCCAGCTGTTCCAGGACCGGGAAACTCTCCTCGCGAGCATTGATGACGGCGATCCGAAAGTCAGGAGGCGGAGGGGCAGACTTCTTGAACTCGGAAGTGGGTTTCCAGACGTAGAAGGCAGGACGGATGCGGGGGTGCGTAGGAGATGTCGGATGGCCCATCGAGGCTGAAGAGCGGAGGGATTCACGGTCTGTAGGCTCGGCCGGATCGTGGGCGGGTATGAGAGTCATGAGCCGGTAGATGGAATCGTAGCTGCGGTAGAAGCCCGGTGTGACGAGTGGTCCTGAAGGAGCTGCATCCGGGAGTGGCTTGTCGAAGAGGGCTTTGTAGAAGTGTGCAAACAGCCCCAGTGGCTTCGGCTTTTCCAACTCCCTCGGCGGGATAAAGTCTCCGTCGTAGTCTTCGGGATACCAAGCCGGTCCCCTCTGCACAACATATCCACTCCTCTTCAAACCCGCATAGACCGTGTACCGCTCCAACGTCAACCCCCGCTTCCCGAGTAGATACGCGTACGCCGCCTGCAAACTCAACGGCAGCCCCTCCAGCTCTTCACCCCGCCATCTCAAATCCAGACTCCCCCTCTCAACCAAGTACAGCGTCTCCTCCGGCAACAAGCTCAACCTGCCCCGCGAGTCCGCCTTCCCCATCGTCCTGAGATTCGGGCCTTTCGGTTGCTCGATGGTCGTCGAGTCATCGCTCGGATCGTAGAGGCCGACGATGAGGCTTTTCGGATTGTGGGTGCGGGAAACGGAGAGGGCGTCGTGCATGGCATTGCGGGAAGCGGCGAGGGTGTCGGTTTGGGAGAGGGTGCCGTGGTGTTCGAAGTCTTTCTCGCCGCGGCGGGGGAGGGTGGGGTGGTCTGTCGGTCTGGAGAGATGTGAGCTGGAGGTGGGGACAGTGGGGAGGTGCGGGAGGATTTTTACTGGGAGAGGGTGGATAGGAAGCGGAAGTCTTGCGTCTCGTCGGAGAGGTCTGTGTCTGTGGGGTCTGGGGTCGCTCTGATTGTAGAGTCTTCGTCGATGTCCGCCATGTTTGTGGAGGAGGGAACAAAGTTGGCGCTACGAAGCGGTCTACTTGAACATCTTTCTTCATCTTCCAAATCAGAAATGACCGCCGAAAATGCGTGACACTTCCGAAGATATAGTCTTAAATTTGCAACACTCGAGACTGATGAATTATGCTGCTCATGCCCCGGTCCCCCTGCTCTCATGCAGTCTTGCAGCCTTTCTCCAGATCCGAGTCGCTCTTACGAAACCAAGACTGAACAGCCAATGGTTGGGAATCATAACATTGTCTACTTTCTGCTTTGATGAAGTCTGCCGACGATAGGGTTGTGAGAGCTCCGCCTCCCAAAAGGCTGCGCTCTCGACAGCATGATGAGTCTTCTTCCCGGGATCTCACATAATAACCGCAACATGTATGGCAAGACGGATCTATCAATTCGACCCTTTCAATGCCTTCGAAGGTTCAGAGGTCCTGCCATTGAAACAGCCCTACATGTAAGTACTGCTTATGCCTGCACTTTTTGGGAGATGGTGGATGGACCCGTTTCGACTTCACTAGCTTCGTTTCGAGCAAAACAGAACTCTCCAAAAACGCTTTCGAAACGTTGAAAGATTTCCGGATCGGAGGACTCTCTAGCTCTTATACTGCCGGTTCACAGAGCAATAGCCCATTCAAGTGCACATGGCAAGAGACCCCGCTGGAAGTATTCGACTGCCTTGTTTCATCTTCCGTCCTCAGACACCATCTGAAAACGAGCAATGAAACAAGTTTGTTTGAATGAGAAAGTCTTGAGTTCTCTGTGACTCTGTCATTAGAATGATAGGATCGCTGTGAAGGTCTGCTGCTTCGCAAAAAGAAAAAGCTGCCCTGAAGAGGATTTCTCTTGCACATCTGCGGCCCAGGGGTCGATCTCATATATGGTGCCTGACTACGAACCTCATGTGCTGCCTTTATTCCATTCAGGAAAATGTCTTTGTGTATCAAGTCACACTTTTAGCACTGTGCTGAGTGGACTTCCGTGCAGCACAAGAGAGGCTGCTCGAAGAACCTGGTTCTTTCTTCCATCTGAGTCGCGGGCTTCGATGTCACACACGGTGCCCAATGAAGAACCCACTGTGCTGCCTCGCAGATGGAAACTGAATCCTGTGTATCAAGTCCTAAACCTTGCAGTGTGCTGAGTGGGACTCAGCGTCCACCAAGCAAAATGGTCGAAAGAAGTTTCTCCTTCAGGTCTACGTCTGGTCAATGAATGTCACATACAGGACTTGATGAGCACCCTAGCTTTAACCGCAGAAACCAGTCTCTCTGTATCAAGTTGTATGTTTAGCAATGCACTGCTTGGCGTTGCTTCAATCTCAAACAATTCTCATAATCTTCGCTCTTCTTCTGTTGGTATATAAGACAGCTTTCTCCCTTCTTCTTTTATTCAAAATCTCTCTCTCCCCATATCACTTACAAAGCTTTCACTTGCTCTAACCCATATCTCCACAGCTCATAATTGAGGCACTACACGTCCACCGTACACAGACACCATTTCTATGAGAACGTCGCTTATTCACATACACATCCACCACGGACGATGCTCTTCCTACAAAAGACTTTGGCGCTGGCCGCCATCCTCATCTCATTCTGCGCCCCAACGCCCCTCATTCGCATCCAAAACTTCTCCAAACAAAACATCTGCTACATGGTGGAATACTCCAACGGAACGGGCACCTTTCCCAACGAAACAATCTGCGGCATAGATCGAGGCTTCTGGCTCAACTCCGGCCAAACCAAGGACTTTAAAGCAACAGGCTTTGATGGCGAACACTTCAACGGCGCCGTAACAGCCTGGCTAAAGAACAACACCTTTAGGGGCGCCCGCAATGAGATAAACCTCTTGAACCAAAGCATGGCGTGGTACGACGTCAGCTACCAATACGGCATATCCGACGGTACCTGCGGTCCCGCCAATAGTAGCGATCTCTCAGGAGAGAGAGACTCCCTTGGGAAAGCGAACTCGGCATGGAAAACTCTCAGTTATCCAATCAAGAACCAATTACTCAAATCCCCCCAGTATCTGAGACAAGGCAAAAACGGATCCCTGGTTTACATCAACATGGGTGTAGAGGCCTTCCCATATGGTGCTCCTGACGTTGTCATGTTCTTCCAGGCTACAGCTGGCTTCAAGGCGTACATGGGCTCCGGGAGCGCTACGGATGTGACCTGGCCCCCGAATTCCGTACAGGCGGAACTGGTCCCGTTGGCGGATAAGCAGACTTTGAGCGCACCGACGGATCATATCGTCATTACTTCTTACTAGCTATACATACACCTTTCATCGCTGTCTTGCGCCCGGCTATCGAACCTCTTGGAGTCTGAAAGACCAATCGAATCTTTTAGATCTGGGAGGATGCGTCTACGTACGCTAGGAGGAGGTGGGAGGAGGGGTTTGGGATTAGGCAGGAAGGTCATGAGTCCGCAGTGCTGTGCGGGGCTCTGCTCACAGCAGGCAGACTTGGCTGGATCACTGTCGTCCAGTCGTTGTGACCGCGCCTGCTGTAAGGACAAGGATCAGAAGTCATGAATAGAGGGGAATTTGGCAGTTCAAACGTCAAACTCCCAAGTCCCACAGCACACCACTCTCTTATGTCTGAATCATGTGTCTTGAGACCTAATTAACCCCCCGAACAAGCAGTTCAGTCTCCGCGGGTGTACAACGTATGCAGTCATCCGAATTTTCAACAGCCAACCCTGTCCACCACACACTCAGTGCACTCCTAGGATTCTGTTGGTAATGTCTTGCTTCAACTCCAAGTGGTTCGCATTCGGGCCCTCCAAACCCTTAAAACTCTTCGCATATTTCCCCCTTTCCCTCACGGAGCGCGGAGACTTGCACACGTCGCTGCTATTGGGCTTCTTCTTTTCTTCTTCTTCTTCATCTCCGCGGCCTCCGTCCCCGGCATTTGTAGCATCTGCCGCAATCATCTCGTTACCAATCTCCCTCCCAGTCGCCTCACGAGACTCAGACAGATGGCTTCTTCCAAAAACTCTGCTGAAGAAACCAAACCGCATGCGTCAAGGTTTCTGGGAAGTACAAAGCGTTCCACATCCCCAAAACTGCTCTCGGCGTTGCAACTTTTGGGTGTCAGGGCCCTAAGGATAGGGTATATCTTTGACCTGAAGCCGCTTAGACTGATGACAAACAGGTCGTATGAGTTTATCATGTGGTATATAAATGGAAGTTGAAGATTCAGGGCGCGGACGTGGCAGCTAGCACTGTCTCATTCCATGCGTACCGATGAAGAAATGGGTTGAACAGAGAACAGAGACTTGAGAAGACGTCGTACATACAGCACCGCACCGCAGGGCACCAAAATGCGGTGTGATCTTGTCACACAGCAGAAGAGGTGTACAGGGCTCGAGAGCTACCTGAATTAGCTCGATCGTTTTCTAATCAGACCATGAAAGGACTTGAGAAGATGTGAGGTCAGATCTAGATAGGTGTATCGGGTGGATGTGTCGAGGCACCGGGAAGGGAACGTTAATGAGACTTGCTGAACGAGAGGAAAAGGAAGATGCTCATTGTAGGAATTTGCGCACGTCGTTGGAAAAAGGAGGGGGTTTGCGGGTGTAAGAGGTCTAGATATTAAAGGGTGGTCGCTGTCAATGTGATGCTTATGACTAAGTGAAGAATGTAACGAATGTGACGACTGTTGTCATGGAAAATGTGGGGATGTAGGAGTCGCAGCAATTCATGGACTGAGAGAGGACCTCATATTACATGAGAGAACTGCAAACACGTGATTAGATTTTTTCTTAGGACGCCTCTTTATTGAGTGTCTGTTCTAAGCTAAGTTTCCACACTCTCATATTGAAGCACAGATTAGATATACTCGTGTCAAAAACGGGTCCGGGCGTCTTGCGGAGCGCCGTCAAGCCAATACAGCGCGAATATGTCGAGATTCTCGGCGTTACCCCATGCATCAGCGGCCGTCCCCCTTGCTATCAGGTGCAACTTCGGAGAGATAAGATCTCGGTATCGGCAGTCGTAGTTTACGTGGTAGATGCGAAGTTGAAGGAATGTTGAGGCACTGTTTGGAGAATAATGGCTCATGGCCCCCCTGACACTCCCATACGTTGATGCGCCAATGGCTAGGGTTTTCAGTACCGGTCCTTGCTCGATTCGCGTCTTATTGGTGACGATATTGAGGAGCATTGTGGCTAGGCCTTCCATCATGTAATCAGTGGGAAGCCAGGTTCTAGATGTCGATGCCGCTGGTAGATTTCGTATATTCAAAGTCTGAAGCTGACTCAATTGAGAGAATGAAGAAGCAATCTTTGTGAGATTAGCATAAAAATGGATGCATAACCCAGAGCCGCTACTGCTTTTACCTCTTCATGGCTATCTTCGGACCTTGCAATATCTGCCCAATCAAGCGAGATTCCCAAGGCTTTGAGCCCAGTGCAATATTTTGCGACAAGCTTCAATTCCTCGTAGTCGTCTGGAAAGAGTGAAGTGTCCGCGAGCATATTACTCCTTGGCCTCGTCCTTTGTTGCCATACAAGAGATCGTAAGCATTTCCCGTGAAGTTTCAGTACTTTACCCATTTCGATATCCCTTTCATAACAACCTTCCAAGAGTACATGAAGATTAGTGAGTGGCTTCAATGAGAGCAGGAAGCTTTCTAGTCCCTGCAAGAATTCATCGCTGGTGTTTTCGTGTCGTATTGCAAAAGTATGGAGCCGAAGAGCGCTCTTCGCTTTACGTCTACCAGCCTCTACCGCCATGAGCAAAGGAAAAGCTGCCTCCACACAAGCGCATGATTCGAGTGTCAGCATGCTCAAACTGGTGAAGTCATTGACAGGCTCGATCCAGCCTTTGGCGAAATAAAAGAGATTGAGCCCAACCAGCGACAGGGAATCAAGCCGTACAACAGGAGTGGAGGGTCCATTCAAAGCCGCGACTTTGTCTTTCAGGAGCTCTGCAAAATTCTCGGTGAGTTGGAAGCGGCCGTCCTCGTTAGAATCCAAACATCCATCCTCTGCATATTCTGTGACAAGATCCATTTCGCTGCCGAGTCGCAATTTGCGCAATTCTTGGTAATTCCTCGCTAGCAACTCTATTGCCCATGAATCACCCCTTCCCAATTCATCGATACCGAGAGTTGTTAAGCCCCCCATCGTCAATTTTGCTAGGTCCGCTTTCCTCCAATTACCGGTATAATCTCTGAGGTTGAGGGTGCGGAGTGAGGTCGCTTGGTGCTTGAGCACGATCGAAAGAGTAAGGGTGTTGAGTGGACAATCGTGTTCCCACCTAAAGCGCACGAGCCCAAGAGTCAGGCTAGTGCAGAAGATTGCATGCCAAGAGGGGGGAATACATACCAGAACGTGTGGAGCTGCTGCGGTGGAAGTTTTGCTATAAGCACGCGGATGAAGGCATTCAGAGCATTGGAAGCTGAAGTGCGTGGACGATAGACTCTGAATAACCCATCGTCTTCCTCTCCGTCTTCCTCCTCTTCTGCATCGTCCACTTCGGTCTCTGCTACAGATTCCTCTTCGTCTCCGAACTCGTGTTCATTCTCGACGACGTCTTGACGGTACTGTCTCGGAACAATCCTCAGAGATCTGGTATACTTGAGGCCTTCCGATGAAGATGCGAGAAGGTTCTCTAGCGAAGGGAGCCGACTCCATTGCTGCGGAATTTTCAATTCGATGGTGTGGTAGAGTGTAGGGAGGACAACGGCACTCAAGGTCTTGCACGTACAACAAAGATGATTGAGGTCTCGGGATTGAACGAGCTAGAACAATACCATTAGCATCATAACCTCCGTACGTTTGGATGGCATTGCTTAGTGGTGTAATTACAAGGCTCGTTATGATACCATGAATTTCCGCTGGCAAAGCTACCAATGGCGATTTTGTATCAGGACAGCTCCGTAGGAACAGGTTAGCTTCTGGCCTATCCCTCTCTGGGCCGCTTGGCTTAAGCTGCTTCCTTCGTTGAACCATCATGAAGCTCTAAGGAAATTTCTAGAGACCGCCGTCCTACGCGGTGTCAGGTAAGAAACGCGTTTGATATGGCAACAAGGCCACTATTTTTCAAGTAGATACTATAACCACACCCTGCCGATATATCACTCACACCGAAATTGTGTCGTTATGTTGTACTTCGAATCCCGCTCTAGGTCGTTTTATTTGAACAGCGTTTCTGGTGTTTGCAGCAGCTATGGGTAGTAATCTCAATCTTTATACTTTGCCTACAGAGCTCCAGCACCACATCGTGCTCAACCTACATCCGTCAGCCGCTATTGCCTTGAAGCAAACCAATCGATATTTCCATACGCATATCTCTCTCTACAGACTCGACCCTCTCAAAGTCAAGCAATACCTCCATCAGGTCGAACTCCGCCCGCGGCATCGCGAAAACTATGCCTGCTTCTCATGCCTTCGCGTGAAACCGAAAATTGCTTTCACCGTTTCTCAGCTTGGCGCGAAGAAGAGCAGAAACGGCGCGTACTCTAGTGGACGTTTCTGCATTGACTGCGGTGTCAGAGATAAAAGATTCAAGCCTGGCACCGTTTTAGATATTGCCGGAGATGAATCGCATCCGAAAGCCTTCTGCCGCTCGTGCTCGACTATTCAGTCATACTTCTGTGGCAAATGTCGTTGGTGTGCTGCGTGCATTGCAAGAACGAAATCTTTCAAGACGTCATGGAGTAGGTCTGTGGGTATGGACCTTTGTCAAACGCATCTTCAGGGTATTAGTGGGACGGGAATCGGCCAACATCGCGCTTCTACCTCATCCCTGGGTCTTCACTGATACCGACTACTCTAGAGAGATTGATTAAAACCTATATCTACATACGAGGTCACGACTTTTTGATCGATGGCCATTTCAAGATACCGGAGAATACTATCATGCAGGGAAGCAATTTAGAAGATTCATGCGGCCGATGGACCAAATTGACAGAAATCGATGCTGTTGATCTTAGCACTGTGCATGGACATATTCTCGTCATCACCAGTGCTGGATTCATCGCCTACGAGTACAAGGACGGACCAATGCCTGACCTATCAAGCATTAGCAAGGAGTTCTTTATTGACTTCGCCGAATATTTTGTCACAAACCGCCCTGCGAATCTTCTCGGTCTCCAGGGTCTCATCGAAAACATGGACCAAACCAAGGCACTGCCATGCTGGATGCCGCAGCCGTGCGCCGCTGCTCACCAACCCGGAGTACCGGGTGGAGATTCGAAGCTAGGGATGGGCAGCCGCGTGTGTGCGCGTCAAATGAGACGCACGCTCGAATGACTTCGGGCAATCACAAGATTTTCAACGCTAGAAAACCTTTACCCAGACTAGGAGATATTCGTGACCTTAAGAGAGGTCTCATCGATGCTGGCGTTCTCTGATACTTTTATGCTTTCGCCTTCCCAAAGGACGGGGCAAGAGAAAGTCTGTGTTTTGCCGTAGCAGAAGATGAATTGTCTTAGTCTCTACCAGTAATTGGCATCTCAACCCTTCAACATCATGTTCTATTTGTGTTCTTGTCCGTGCCTGAGACCTTTTCCCTTTTGTAAACAGTCAGGGTCATCAAACCTTGTGCCCGGATTGACGAGGATTCCATCCAGAGATAGCATATTGGAAAGTCCTGTTACATCGTCACGGATAGATGTGACCTGCGGCTTGTTCGCAAGCAGGCTCGTGAACCCACGAGACAGCAATAAGCCCTTGACATTCGCACTCTTGATTGTCTCCATCGTCTCTGCAGATAAGTCTCCCACCTCGTCTCGGGACGCGCGGCAAAAGATGTCATGTAGAGTGCCGTAATCATCATATCGCCTCCACCCAGTCATGAGATGGACCGTACCCGTAAGAGCTTGCAGAGAATATGGATTCTGGCCGAAAGGGCGAATTTCAGGTCCTGCCGAGTCAATAGCACCAGTCAAGTGACACGACGTCTCATCAACCATAGAACGCAATCGTGAAATCGCGAGGAAAGAAAACAATTGGAAGAGACTGAATTGCCTACATTGAGTCAAGACATTCCTGTGCGGTCTGATGAAAGCGAGACGGTAGACAGCGGAATAGTACCTGCAGCTCCTTCATGTGACTTCGGCTAGATTCTCGCGGTAGTCTGAATCGACCTCTTGAGGGGCTTCATGAGAGGGCAAGAAAATGTAATCAATTAGCCACTAAACAATGTAACGCTATGGCGTCCTTTTGATGTAGCTCGGACTCATGGCACTCGTAATCAGTATCGTGGTAAGAGACCAAATCCGCCCAACAGGGAAAGGAAGAGGGAGGGTGAAATATACCGTGCTACGTCTGTCATAAGCATTTTTCGCCATGCGCGATTCTGGTCTTAATTCCTGGGGATTGCATTTGCAAGGATGAAGTCCAGATGGCTAATATCCTGTATCCGGCTCGTAGCATAGACCAAAAGGGGTTCTTTGCTATCGTCTCCCAACTGCCCATGGAATGAGACGTTCGGGGCCAGGAAGCCATATATTTCCCGCGCCAAAGCAGGAATCTGCGGTCTGAGCATGAAAGACTCAAGTCGAAACTGGATGACTACACAAGCTCGGTTCAGCGAAACGGCTAACTATAGCGCATCAAGTCTCTGCGTGACTCTTTGGCTTCAGCATCGCACGCTTGGCAAGTCCCAGACCTTTGCGTCCAGGACTCCCCTGCTGTAGCGTCAATTGAATATTCTTAACCGGTAGTCACGATTGTAGAACGACCTGACTCTACACATTCTGTGGCCCTCTAAGCGCATCGTCCTGGTGATCTTTCAGGCGGGACGTTACTCTATCCGATACCTTGACGCAGGGGTCTTAGAGCGTACTCTAAAATAGGCCGCAGGTTTTCGTGTCGACCCGTAAATCATGAGATACTCTAAGATGATAAGCTTAGACTACCTATTTTCAGAGTGCTGAAATAGGTGGTAGAGATTTTACGATAAAACGATATAAATTGACTTAGGAGTAAACATTCCTGTTTCATGACGAAATGACGAATGGACAGGTGGCCGAGTGGTTATGGCGCTACGTTTAGGCAAATGTAGTGCTTACTTTTGAAATCCGTAGTTCGAAAGAGCGTGGGTTCGAATCCCACCCTGTTCAAATTAAATTTTTCGCATTTTTGAACTACGTTCTGATAGAGATGTGGACGACTTCACTTTTTGCTGTCCGGGAGGTTGAAGACGGGCGGGAAGGCTCTCCGGGCGATGCGAAGCATCGGAAAGCTCGGGCACAGGCTTAGAACGGCTACCCCCACAACAATGAAGCATAAGCGACGTTTTCTAACATCCCAGGAGATATTGTAACAGCTTGATGGAAACTTACCAGCAATTAACTGCCGTTTCTTCAACATGATTCGGGCCACATCTGCTCAGCGGTCGTTAAGAATGTAGCTCGATCTACAACAGCATATTGATTTACACTGGAAGGAGCTTCAACACAGGAAGTCTCCTATTTTGGCATCAAAGCTTAAACAATGATGATGTTACGCATTGGTGTATGTGATTACGTGTATAGGTACTCTTTCTGGATCCTCCATACCAGTCATTCCTACTAGGCCTCACCCATTTCAGTTGAGGAGTGGAGTAACAGATGGAAGTAGGCAGGTGGAGGGACGGATAGTAGTATTATGAATTGCAAATTAAATAAGAATACTTGACAAAGCTGACCCAGCTCCGCCTCCGACTTTTTATTAGCGCTATTTATAGAAAATTATAGAGAATATATTTACTATTCTTATATTAGTCTACTTTATATTTTTAAAGCTTCTATATAGCTTAAATACGAATACGATAATATTATAATATCTCGAAATATTATTAATTCTTATTAGATAATTAAGACGACTATTAATAATTAGAGATTCTCTAAATCTTATTATCGCTCTTTCTTTAAGCGAGTCTCTTTCGCGGATAAGTAGAATAATATTACTACTATTATAGCTTAATAGAAGAAGAAATAAAAGAAAATCTAAGTTATTTAGATAAAGATTAAAGCTATAATTAATAGAGTAATCTTAAAAAAGTAGAAAGAGACTATTAAACGTTGTAAAAAGAAGAAGATTATATATTATAAAGAGTAGAAGAAATATATAGCTTATTTAAAGATTAAGATAAAGACTTTATAATATAAGAAGAAGCTTAAAGAATAATATATTACTATTATTCGCCATAAATAAGAGATTTATACTATTATTATTTATCGCGAGAAGAAAGAATAGATAGTTATATAAAGAGATATTAGAATAATAATTAAAGAGCTTCTAAATAAGATAGAGCTTAGAAAGCTTTATTCACCTCGAACTTTTACGATAATAAAGAGAGATAATGTTACGTTCCCGACATAGCGTGAGGACTTGGCATGTCGCTTCCTTTCCTTTCTTCGAGAAACCTTACTAGCGTGACTTGGCATGTCGCTTTCTTTCCTTTCTTCGAGAACGTTCATAGATTAATCAATCAATCAATCACAATCAGAACCAAGAAACACCTTTCCCTTCTTCGTGAAACTCCTTTCCAGGAGTACATGCATGCTTCTTACACAGTATCCCTAATAATTGGTAGCAACACTCGGCTTTCCTGTGTTCTTTGACCACCATCCTCACCATTTTCCGCACCAGAGACACTATTCTCACACCAAGGAGTTTTTCTTCTACCACTTTCTTGAAGGAAGGACCTTTTTCTGGAAGGAAGGACCGCTACGGGAGCTACTTGATTCCCCCCACCTTTTCAAGTAACTTTCCTTCTCTCAAAGGAAACTTATCTCTCGTCCTTGACACTTCCCTTCCTTCTCGACAAATCTTTCTTTTCGTTTTCTCTCCACACCTTTTCATGACAGAGTACGACTATTCATGACCGACGAAGTCAGGAAACCTGTCCTATCAGACTTGACGATTTCACTCGCCTTTCAATTTCAAGCTTTCTCAGTGAAAAATCCTGAACTTTACGAGCAGGTTCTCAACGAGAACTATCGTCATCTTAATATTTTAGT